GGACACTGGCTTGATCACTCCATCTACCGCTATATGTTCTAATAAGGATTTGCAGATTGTATTTCTCATTGGATCTTAAAGGATGGATCTTAGTAAACCTCATTCCTTTTCTCTCTCTTCCTCAATGCCTATCCAGACAAGGGGGTGAATTATAAGAAAACTCTAGCAGTCCACTTCTCTGGCTATCCTAATGTTGACCACTTGATGGAATCATGAGTTCAATTGCCTTCAATCTATAACTAAGAGCTTCAGTTAGAAAGGAGGATCAGCCTTGGGCAGCCATTCAATTTGTGATATTCAACTCTCTTGGATCCTCACCACAATTTCGATATGTATACAACTGTACCAAGACCTCTGTCCAAATTTTTCTCTTCCATAACTTTCAGTTTTGCTGATAGATGACCTTTATTCTAATCTCTTGGACAGTTTAAATAGTAAAGTAACAAGTTGCTTAGAAATCTGTGTTTGTATTGCTGCAGCTTTGCTATCTACTCATACCCAATTTCATGTCCCTTTTTATTAAAGGAAAAAGTTTAAAAAAAAAGACTTGTCTCAGGGTACAAAAGATCAATAGGAGAACTTTCCATTAGTTGGTATATCTATTTAAGATTCATCATTCTCTGGAGCAAAGAAGAAATTGCCTGAGTCTGGCAATGATAATTAATTCATCTCTTGTACATCAATGTTTAAAAATCCTATTTTTCAAGCACAAGTCCCTTTACGTGATATGAGTAAGAGATAGTAAGCATATAGTTCATGGATTTACAAACAAATTATGTATTTTTTCAGATGTAAAGGAAAGCAAAGGCAGAAGGCCCATTTCAAGATTTATCTAAAAACTGTGACTAACACAGTTCTTCTACAAATATATAATAACTATGAAAAATATTAATGATAGCTTAACCTCATTGAGCTGTGGTTTTCTTGTCTATAGAACGAGGGTGGGGTTGGATTAGATCATCCCCAAAACCTTTTCTAGTGCAAACATTCTTTGATTTTTATTAGAGTAAATGTGTTTTTGGAGAGTATGGTCTGAACTTCAGCTATATATGAGTTGTTCTGTTTAAGAGCATTTAGTCTCTGGGTTGCTTCGATTTGCTTTTTTTTTAATTTGCTTCCTGAGCATAATGAAGTCGTGTTTGCTGTAGTGTTCCCCATATTTCCATTGAGAAGAGTTTTACTTTTTGCTTATCCTCTCTGTTCCTTAGGAGAACGTATTCTATCCTCTCTGTTTCTTTTGGAAAATCTTGTTTTCTCACTAAGGGGAAATGAGGCAAGCAGCTTTGTGGCAGACAACATCTTAACTGCTGGTTAGGGGGTGTTGTGAAATAGTTTATGCTTATCTTTGCTCCTTCATATCTCTTTCTCTTGCTTTAGTGCCCTCATTCAGCACTGGGCCATGCTCCATACTCTGGGCCTGCCCTTGCTTTGCTCACTCCCTTCCCCTACCCCATAAAAACTCACTTGTTCCGTGTCTGGTTCCTTTGGTCCTAAGCTTATAGGGCAAGCTCGTAATCTGCGAGGCTATTTCAAGATTAAGTATTCCTTAATAGCCAGTAAAGGTTTAATGTATCAGCCACCTTCCCTTTTCATTTTAATAACCTAAATGAGTGAATGAGTTGGAAATTTCAGACATCATGGCAGTGGGGGAATTTTTTTTTGGGACAAGGAGTCTAGCTAGTAGGTCGATGTCCAGCTAGCTCTAAAAATCCAGGCCCAGGGATTTCAATTGTATTCCTTGAAAAGTCAAGGTGTAAATATATCTTTCATAGTAGTTACACGTTTTTGGATGATGACAGCAGTCCCGTATGTGAAGTTAGCCATCCTTTGGAAGACCATAGAATTTTGATATGGCTGTATATTAAGTGGTTGTAGTTGACACTAGTTTAAAAGGGGTTATCTGCTTGGAAAGAATGCACATGAGTATAGTTGCTTATTAGTATTTTCATTTAATTTTGTAAAATTAACTAAAATTGGATTTTAGTTCACTTTTAAATAGTTTGGGATTTGCTGTAAGAGCATGGTGACTTTTTCCATTAGTGGACATATGTTGACAGTACAAAAATGAAGAAAACGCCAGTTTTGCACTAAATGACAATTTGTCCACATGTCGTAGTGATGCCATATGGCTTAGCAGCTTGAGCACCGGATTTAACATCTGGAAGATCTAGTTTCATCGCCTGTCTCTGGTACTTACTAGCTGGCTGTCCATGGGCAAGGCATTCCACTAAACCTCAATGTCCTCATCTGTAAAACTGTGCTAGTGACACCTCTAGGTTGTACTTGATGAGGTGGTTGCAAGTCTTCAATGAAATATGTACTTACAGCTTAAAAAATCCCCAAGACTAAGATGGAGACAGGTTGAGATCTGTGCCGATGGAGGAAGTTTGCACTTAAACCATAGGCTCTTGATACATTGACATATATGCCATATGTTCTCTTCCTATTGCTCTCTTTTCCAGTGTAGGAATAAAAACAATTCACATTCATATAATACTTGAAGGCCTGAAAAACCTTTTGTATATATTATTTCATTTAATTCTCATAACTACCCCATGAAGTAGGTGCTATTATTAACTCCACTTTTGGAATGAGAAAGTTAGGGTGGGGCTTGGAGGCACACAAGATAAAGATCAGTAGGACATGTGATCAAGGACCACAATTCTTTGGACTATACATATTCATATGCATAATTACATCCTTTTGCATATACTATAGCTTGTTTTTTTAAGATCTTCAATTTCATTCTCAATGCTTAAATATAACATATTTCAGGTTGTCTGTGCCAATCACAGACAAGAAAATAGCATGTTTGTATGCTTTCACAAAGAAAGCTGCATGCAGCCATTCTTATTTTTATGATACAGTAAACTCCACAGTACATGTGGTGTGATGGCAAACTTGGAATCGGTTTCTCTTCGTTACAGTAGTGAAATTCATGGTCTAACAATTCTAAACATGCTTATGTATTTTTTTTTCATTAGACAAATTTATTCCCCACACAATGTTGAACATCTTTGGAACATGAAATATCAAAAATTTCAAGCATAGAGATAAACTCTAAACTTTTTACCAACTGGGGCTTTGGGGTCCAGGGTGAGTTACAGAGTTGAAAGGGTTAAATCTTGCAGGTCACAGTCCTTGGTTGGGTGGCAAAGTAGCTGGGGAGAAGATGGCAGGGGAGAAGGTACATTTCCTGCCTGACAGTTTACAATCTGATTGATTAGTATAGATAATTGGTTTCAAAATTTTAATTTCGGCCTAGAACTTTCTATCTAGGTAAGTGGTTTGTCTCTTAACCCAAACTTAACTGTCCATAATTATCAGGTCAGTGATATCTTACTAAAAGTTGACACAAGGTGGTCTCAGGATAAGGATAACCCTATAAGAACTAGGACTGCCAACCACTTTATGAATCTTTTTTGAGAGTATATATTGAGTAGTTCTCTAATAGTGTACTTTCAATATATGTAGATTTTGTACACTTAAAAGATGTTAACTTTGTATTTACCTGACAATTCAAAACTACTTTAAAATGCATATTTAGAAGAAATTTAGCAACACAAAATATGAATAAATAAAATGAAATACAGTACCTCAGAAGACTCTAAAGAAAAGGCATGTGTTCTATGATTTTGTGAGAGATTTTTTGAAACAGACATGGTTTCTGGTTCTCATCCTGCCACTAACTAGCAAGTCACCTAATCTTTCCTTATGTGTAAAATGAGAGTTGGACTGGATGATATCCAAGGTCCTTTCCATCTCAAAAATTCTGCGATGGCACTAGATTGATTAGATGAGTAGAAAAGGACTGGAATTATGGTATTCTACCGACTCAATTAAGCAAACATTTATCGAGGACCTACTGTATTTGAGGCCCTAGGCCAGAAGTTAAAGATAACAATGGCATAGTCCCTATCTTCTAGGTCCTTACAATATAGTAAGGAAAGTAAGATGGAAATACAAATGCACTTATAAAAAGGTTGCGAAAGTCTACAAGAGGCACAAAGTGCTATGAGGGTTTATAGGAATCGTTGGGAAATTCTTATTTAGTATAGTTCCTTTCAAATAATAGGTTTGGATGAATATATTTTGACTTACAAATTAACCAACAAGATATTTTAATTAAAAAGTATTTTATTGCAACAAAATGCCTATGCATTTGCATGACATTTTTAATGGTAATGGCAATCATAGAGAGCAAAGAATTATGGTAGAACTTTTAACATTGTAATTAAATTGGCCATAATTCCTTTTTGATTGCTTGATTCTCCACATGAAATTAAATTTGTAATAATCTTGTTAATAGCATGCACTTTTAGCCTTGTCACAATCTTTAGTTTTACATATATATGTATATATACATACATATGTACACACGTGTGTATATCCATATAAATGTGTATGTGTGTGTGTATATATATGTGTATGTATATATATACACACACACATTTAGAATCCTAGACTTTTAGCACTGCATTATCTAATTCAGGGGTTTTCTAATTACCAGCCCAGGAATCAGAAGTAGTCCACAAAAGAGAAGTCTTTATTTTTTTATACCTTTAAAGTTAACCTAATAATGCCTTCTCACTCCTCCTTACATCTTGCTCCTCCTACTCCTGGCTCTCTTCTTTGCCTTGGTTCCTGTTTCCCAATCTTTGAGAGCCATCTTGGCATTTGCAATAGAGACTAGGAATTTTGCCATTCTTTAGTAGTTTGACTTGGGGAATACAGCTTTAAGTCAATTCTTTCATTTTACAGGTGAGGAAACAGACCCAAAGATGAGGAAACCAAGATTTAAAAAGGCTAAACCACTACTCAATATTCCCCCTGTTCACTAGGACCCAGAAGGACAGACTAGAGCTCAGACCTCCTAAATACTTGGCCTTGTGTTCTTTCTATTTTATTGGGTTGCCTTGAGTATTTGTCTAATGAAATTATATTGGACTCCTTAAAACATAGGTGTACAATAAAAATCTTCATGTCTTTGTGTCTTCTAGGGTTTAGATGTATTTGGGCTTGATGTCATTGAAACACCTGAGGGAGAAAAATGGCCCCAACTAATTGTCCAAAAGGTGCTGGATCGGGAGGACAAAGACACATATGTGATGAAATTGAAAGTTGAAGATGGTGGGTCACCTCCCAGGTCCAGCACAGCCCTTTTGCAAGTTTCTGTGATTGACACGAATGACAATGGTCCTGTCTTTAAGGAGTCAGAGGTTGAAGTTGCCATCCCTGAAAATGTTCCTGTGGGCTTTTCAGTCTATCAACTCCATGCCACTGATGATGATGTGGGTGCAAACGCACGGATCCAGTACTTTTTCAGTGATCTAATGAACAACGTTGCAAGGAAGCTTTTCGATCTCAACAATACCACTGGCCTCATTACCGTCAAGGAGCCCTTGGATAGGGAGCAGGCTCCTATTCACAAGCTGATGGTTTTAGCAACTGATGGAGGTTCATTGCCCGCTAGGGGAATGGTGATAGTGAATGTCACAGATGTCAACGACAACCCCCCGATAATTGACGTCAGATACATCATCAATACAGTTAATGGGACTGTGTTCTTGTCAGAAAATGCTGGGCTCAATACCAAAATTGCTCTCATTACACTAATAGATAAAGATGCTGACCGTAATGGGAAAGTGAACTGTTTCACAGAAAATGACGTTCCTTTCAGATTAAGACCAGTTTTTGAAAATCAGTTCCTAATGGAGACTTCCTCTTTCCTAGATTATGAGACTACAAAAGAATATGAAGTAAAATTGTTGGCTTCAGATTCTGGCAGACCTCCTTTGAATTACACTACTTCTGTCATGATTAAAATCAAAGACGAAAATGACAACGCACCCATCTTCAGCCGGTCGAGCATAAGGATTTCTGTCCCAGAGAACAATGCTCCTGGTGCTCAGCTGACAAAAATCAGTGCAACAGATGCAGACAGTGGAAAGAATGCAGAGATCACTTACCTGATAGCTGGTGAACGCCCCTCTGCTTTCAGCCTGGATAATCGTACAGGCATTCTGTCAGCAGCGGAACCACTAGATAGAGAAAAGAAAGACAAATACACCTTCACAGTCACCGCAAGGGATAATGGCAAACCTCACCTGCAGTCCAACGCTACGGTGATTGTAACAGTCCTCGATCAGAATGACAACAGCCCTACTTTTACCCACAGTGAGTACAACTTCTATGTCCCAGAAAACCTACCCAAGCATGGCACGGTGGGACTCATCACTGTAACTGATGCTGATGCTGGAGAGAATGGAGTTATCACTCTCACCATTCTAAATAACAATGGCAGTTTCATCACTGATTCAATAAATGGAATCATCCGACCCAATACCTCTCTTGATAAAGAGAAACAACAGTCTTACACTTTCGTAATAATGGCCACAGATGGAGGCAGGGTGCCACGCTCTTCATCTGCCAAAGTGACCATCAATGTGGTTGATATTAATGACCACAAACCAGTTCTTGTTTTACCTCCTACTAACTATACATTTCAGTTTCTTCCACTAGCTACTGAACTTGGCACACTTTTGTATGTAGTGATGGCTATTGATGAGGATACTGGCAAGAATGCTGAAATTCAGTCCAAAATTGAATCAGGAAAAAGAAAGAAATTATTTGAAGTGGAAGGAGCATCAGGTAACATAACTCTGAAATCAAGATTTATTACTGCAGACCAAGGCTTACATAAGTTATTGGTCAAAGCTAGGGACTTAGGGCAACATGACTCTTTGAATAGCAAAATACTGTTGAATCTATTTGTGAATGATTCTCTGCGCAATACTTCTCTTGTAGACGAGCTACTGCGCAGAGCTCGAGGTCGAGGACGAGGAAAATCAGTGACCCACAAGGTTAAAAAGCCTGATGTTGCGAGCCCATCAACTGGTGACTACGTCAAGTACATCATCGCCATCATTTCTGGTTCCATGACGGCCGTCCTGACCATTGTTATCGCTGCTCTTTTACGTTGCCGCCGTTTTCCACGCCTCCGAGTTGGAAGAAAGCAGAATTCAGAATGGGTCACTCCAAATCCAAACAACAGCGAGACAATAACGATTAGCACAAATGACAACGGTGGCACTAATAGTGTCATCCTTAACCTTGTGACCTTTGCCGAATCTGGGACTGATGATCTGGATAATGAGGAAGAGGCCACTACCTCCTTGGATGTCGCCATTGATATCGAAGAAGACCCCATGGAGAGGTACAAGTGGGGTACCCATTCTTCCACTTTTAAGCCCGATGTTCCTGATTTGGCTCAACACTACAAAGCGACATCTCCTCAGCCACCCTTCCATATTGAGCCTGAGACTCCTGTGCATTCAAAGCACCATGGCATCCAGGAGCTGCCCGTGGACAATACTTTTGTGATGGGCTGTGACTCTCTTTCCAAATGTTCCTCCAGCAGCTCAGATCCATACAGCATTTCTGACTGTAGCTGTCAAGGAACCATCAAGACTACAGCCACCATTCACCCCCGACAGGTAAGCTCAAATTCCTAAATGAATTTGCTATGTTCCTTTACTTTTTAAAAGCTGTTTCAACTTTAACCAAAGCATTATAAGTCCGTCTGGTCTGAAAAGATTGAAAGCTCTAATCTCAAGTATTGCAACCTATAGATTGTGGTGAACTGATATTAGACATAGAGAATTAAAATTAACTATGAGCTATGGGAAAATTTTATGTGAAATTAGGGGCAATCCTGTCTGTAGATGGCAGTATGGTATTTCCTGTGTTAATGTAGAATATTGTTGAACAATTAAAAAAAAAACAACACAGAGGGGTTATGGCATTGTCCTCAGCCTTATGAGATGCACAGGAATATAAGTTATGAAGAACAGGTACAGAGCATTAAAGTTTTTTCAGGTTATGATAAGTGACTTGTAATGCTAATGGAGTTTGGAATTGCAGCCTTTACTTGGACAAACTGCGATGCCCACAGGTCCCTCAAAAGTGGGCAAGATTTTCCACCCCAGAGAAATGAGAGTGCCATTTTCAGAGTAGAAACATTCTCCTACTTTGGCTCATGGAAATCTCTCCTAACTCATACAAGATGGAGAAAATAAGGCTATAAAGAAAAATGTAGACATATTATACTTTGCTTTTATTTTTATGACAGAGAGTGAAATGTGTAAATGATGCCTGATTCTAGGTACTCTTTTTAGTATTTGTGTATTGATGAGAAATAGTCAGTATCCTTAAAGATCTATTCTTCACTGTGATTTTTTTTTGAGGCAAAGTATGTTTTGTACAGTATGTTGAAGGGAAAGTAGGACAAATGAGTGTGACCACATTGATTATAAATCTAAAGACTAGGGAATGAATTAAAAATAGCTTCCTTATATATCTGCATTTGAGGAGAAATATGTCAGGGTTGCTTTATATTAAGCATTGGCATTCACAAATGGATTCAGTTGTTTCCGTTTCTTTGATTGTTTTCTTAATGAAGCCAAGACACAGAATTCTATGGTAATATTTTGTTTCTTCCAATGGAAGCCTTACCTTGAGTTGTGCTTTTCTTTCCTTGTGTTTAAGCTATAATGAATCTAAAAAAAAAAATTCACATCAATTTATTAAAAAAAAAACTTGGTTTGTACTCTTTGAGAAGCGTCATTCTGAAGATGGATTATAAGTTAGTTACAAAGAAGAAACAGTTTTTAGGGTTTTGTTTTACATTTTTCTTAACCTCTGAAAGTGATTGGCAGCTGCAAAATTTTGTTGAACTAAAAGAAATGAGATATGATGAGAGAAGCTCACTTATTTTGCTATTTTTTATGCTGTATAAAATGCCTACAAATACATCCAGATCTCTTCCATCCTTAAAAACCTCTCACTAGATCAAAAGCAAAGTGTGCTTCTGACCCCTCTAGATAGGATTTAGTCAGTAATAATGAAAGAACCAAGAAGGCATATTAGTACTAGTTCCTGACATAAAATGTAGGTGGTACATGCTAGTATGTTCAGAAAATGTTGTAAATGTGAAAGAGCATCAGCTTTTATAATTTCAGATACATAAGACAGAGTGGTTAAGCGATCATTTTCATAGTGCAATGTCTGGATATACCCTAATTCACATAACCTGAGTCAGTAGAGACTTCATAAACCATCTAGTTTAAACTGTACCTGGAAAAAAAAATCTTGTCTGTCACCTTTAGTGCTAACCGTGCACAGTTCCTTTGCTCTTGTCACTTTATCTTGAGTCTAGTTCCCTCATACCGTTATATTTCAGATAACAGAAGCTTAATGCTTCAATTACAATATGTCATTGCCTTCTTTCCCCTCTCTATTAGCTACCTTGTCCCTAAGGCAATTCTTCTTCCTCTTTGTCATTGCTTCATATAATTTCCCTCTTCTCTACTTCCTTTTTGGCACTTCTAGTAATCATTACCTTTCCATGTTGAACCACTCCCTATCTTGACTGTTGAGAACTCCAAGAAAATTAGAAGCTGAGCCTGATGGACACAAAAAATAACCTGAGTGCCCCTGCTAGGAGCTTGAATAGGATTGGCTAGGCAGAGAGGCATCATGGCACATCTAATGACAGCTTGAACTTTCAGTGTTGGTGATTGCATGACTACTCCATTGATGTTTCTGGAATTGCTTTGTAAAGATTGCTTGATTCTGTATAACTGTGTTAAACCACAGCTGAATCTAGCATTCACCCCCTACGATTTCTGTAGTCTCATGCCACCCAAGAAGTAAACATATTGCAATGTATTTCAAAATATCAGACATCACATTTGACACGTGATTTCTTCCTACATAATCCTTTTTTGCTCATTTTACCTCCATCCTTTTTCTTTTTTTAATTCTTTTTTTTGAGGTTTTATCGATGCCTTTGTTTACCACATTTTCTGAAATATCCCACCTGCATCACTGAGCTCTCCTTTGTAACAAAGAAAAATAGATAAACAAAGCTAATGGAATGACCACACCTAAAAGTGTATGCATGTACCCAGTACCAGTAGTTCCCATAACATCTCTCCAAAAAAAGGAGAGTATTTCATCTGTTCTTTCAGACCAATGTTGATCATTACGTTTAATTTGAATTGAGTTGCCTTCTAGAGTTGTTTTTGTTTGGAGTATTGTGCCCATTGTACATATTGTTAGGCTGGTTATCTTGAATCAGTTAATAGGTTTTTCTCAGTTCCTCATATTTGTTATTTCTTACAGTGGAATAGTATTTTGTTATGTTCATATGCTACAGTTTGTCCTGCTATTCTCCTATCAATGAACATCCATTTTGTTTGCACTTTTTTCTTAACATTGAAAATGCTGCTATGAATATTGAGGGCCTTTCTGACTTTGACCTTCTTGGGGTTTATGCTCAATAATGGGATCTTTGGGTTGAAAGATATGAACAAATTGATGACCTTTCTCACATAATTGAAAATTATTTTCCACAACTGTTATACCAATTCACATCACTAGTAATAGAATATTAATATACCTTTCTTTCCAGATCCCATCCAGCATTCTCTTTTTTTTATCTTTTGTCATCTTTGCCAATTTGATGGCTATCTTTGAATGTTGTTTATTTTTTCTTATTCAGAGTATTTTTTGCATTTCTTCTGAATATTGTTCTTATTCTTTGATCATTTATCTTTGGGGTTCATGTTCTTATTTATCCACGTCAGTCCTCTGTGCATCTTTTTTAGTAATTTTCCATCAACTATTAACACAATTTCCCTGGGTTTTTGTGCCCTATTACATTTTCCATACATGTAACATACTCAATATGAATAATAAACATCATTGTGTCAAAAGATAAAGACCCCAAAATGCTTTGGAGCACTTTTGACCAAGCCCAAATCCAGTGGTACAGTTCTTTCAAATAGTAGCAGAATTTTCTGGCTATGGTTACAATGTGTGTTCATGTAAATGGCATCATACAAAGACTGGCCCATTCAAAATTATCTTTCTTCCCTCTTCTACTAAAACTCATAATTATCAATTTTGTGAGCACAGGAACAGATAGTGAAAATCAGGGACCATCAAATGTAGTTAATGTCTGAATCATAGCATGGCAGATTTACCTTGAAATTTGCGAAGTTATATTCTCCTATCCACAAGGGACAGAGTTTATAAAGCAAATTTTAAAGATTCTAGTTCTTGGCACCTACGTAGAAAGCAGATATGTAGTCTGTTTCATGAAAAGAAAAACTAAAATGAGCCATATGGATTTGGTGTAGAAAAGGGGGAGTGTTTTCCAGTAGTGGAGGGCCTAAAAGGCTACCGTAGAATTACTTAGCTAGCCCTTTATCTTTGGTTTATACTTTGTTCGAAAGTTGCTACAAATGACTAGCAAGTAACGTTCATTGACATTTTGAATGTCTTGGAGTTGTATCCCCTATATGTTTGGCCTCAGGAGTCCAGAAAAACCATCAACATTATTCAGCCTTTTCACAGGACTTGACATTTTTAAGTGTTGTACAGTCATCAGTTATTTTCACTTCCTGTTGAAATGGAAATGGGTGTTACCTGGAGTGAAGCTATATTTCTTTCTCATGATCAGAATTTAGTAATAGTTGCCCAACATTGTTTAACTGTTGTAGGAAATCTTAGCATCTCTGAAGGTTTAGAAGGGTAAAATCTTCCCTAATGGGTTGGGGAAATGGGCTTCTTGTAAAGGTTGTCCAAAAATTCTTAGAAGGATAGGTACAACAAAAGTAAGAGGATAGATTGTATGTTGCTCTCTGAATTTGCTGTGTTTGTGCATTGATTTCTACTTGTCAATCTGTTGTCTTATGGAGGCGGAAGAGCAATTGCTCATAAAATATTTCAGTTACTCTAATAGGATTATTTCTAAGGTCCATAAATGAAGACTGGAAAAAATACATTTTGGGTTCCAATTAAAATGAATCCTCCTGGGAAAATGCTTTAAATATGTGCTAAATCTGCCTTATCTAGCATTCTGACCATAACTGACCTTATTTGTGCATGAAATATGAACTAGAGTTACGGTTTCTTTTATTTCACAGAAGAAAATATGACTTTTCTTTCCATATGAAATCCTAGAAGTAGACCCTGAAAATGGAGTGGCACCATTCTTTCCCCCCACAAATTGACCTGGCACATGGAAAGGAAGGACATTTTGAACTTTGTTTTAACAGTATTACCTAATGGTTCATAAAACAAAACAAAAATTATTTTAGGTTCAAATTTTAAAAAAAGAAGATAGAGAAAATGTATTTCAAATTGGAGGAAACAAAAATTTATTTCTAGATAACTATCCATTTTAGGAATTATGTTGTGGGGCAGAGCTAAGATGGCGGAGTAAAAGCAGTGACTCGCTTGAGCTCTCCCCCAAACCCCTCCAAATACCCATAAAAATGGCTCTAAACAAATTCTAAAGCAGCAGAACCCACAAAAAGATAGAGTGAAACAAATTTCCAGCCCAAGACAGCCTGAATGGTTGATTGGAAAGGTGTATTGCGCCAGGCAGGGAGAGAAACGTAGTTCGGCGTGGGCACGCAGGCCACAG